AATGTGTAAGTTTTTATATTATTTTTTAAACACACAGGGTAAATGATGAGCTCCATTAAGATCTCTTTCCTAATATCATTTTTTTAAATAATTGACGAAACCATTGAATTAAGTTCACTTTTAGCCTTTTTTTAAAAAAGTTTAGAAAATCTGTCAGTTTTAAAAGAAAATAGTTTAAAATTACTGCTGTTAAATTTCTATTGCTTCAAACTGATGAAATTGCAGTAAACGTAATAAATTTTAGAGCCAATATGTCGAAGAACTTAATCTTTCTGTTATTTATGATCCTATACGACAAATTGCAAAGTTCTGGTGAGCTATAACCTATTTATACATATATATTTTATCTAAGAGCATATGAAGTGTGTACTTAGGTATTAAAACATACTAAGTTATAAAGGCAAGTAAAGAAGTTTTAAAATTTGTTGCTAACATATTTATCGCATTCTAAAAGATGAAGTTTGAATAAAAAAATTCTAATTTATAATATTCGGAAAATCTAAGATTTAATTTGCTAAAGCATATTCTCCTAATTATAGACTTTTTTAATAGAATATTCACTTTCGTAGTAGAAAAAGGAATTATATCGTACAAATTTTATAACGTACTTTAGAGTTCTTAAATTAATTATGAACTACTTATAGTCGTTTGGAAGCTATCTGTAATTTACGTTAAATCATCGATTTATGCGAGATTCTGACAGCATTATAAATTTAAAAATTTAATTTTAAACTACAGCTAAAATAATCTCAGAAAAAAAGTCTTATACAATTATATAAATCTCAGAAAGCACTAAAAAATTTTAAAAAGGAATTTTAAATTAAATCTAAAACAATTTGATATAATGTTTGTCCGGTAAAACCTGCAGTCACATTATATTTAAAATATACTGCGCAATTCTGAGTATTCATTGTTTCAAAATACTGTAAATAGCAATTACATTGTTAAGGTTGTAAAAATAAGAGAATACATTTTCCTTAAATATTTTGTTTTTGTTTTTGCCTCTATTAATGAATTGAATGCTTCATATGATTAAGTTACTCAGAAGAAATTTTGGTGAGATTTATTTCTGTTAAAATCAGTGATAAAACAAGAATTCCGAGTTAAAAATATTCATATGCATACTACATTGTTTAACTCTTAGTTAACACTGTCTTGTAAATAGATAGATTAAAATTTTTAAAACAAGGCTTTTGCAAAATGTTTAGAGGAAATACCTTCAGTATATGATATTAACGCTTGCATAAGAATAGCGTGCACTTTAAAAGTTCAAGATTTTAATTTTAAAGCATACTTAAAATAGCAGAAAGTTATATTAATATTGTTTTAAATATAATACTTCATTCGTTTACTACGACAGTGCTGGATATGTTGTTATTACACAGCGACAGCTTAAGTCGGCAAACATACAATAAACGCCTATTATCCCTTTAATAAACGATGAGAACTTACAGAAAACGAAATACTGATTTATGTATTAAATAAAAGCAACGTAGAAAGCATAATTATTTTTCGAATTTTACACACAGAACAATACTTTATAATGGCGGCCACACTGAAACGTTTCTTCACTGTATGATTCTTACACTGCAGTAAAACCAATGTACAGAATCCCTTCACCAGTTAAACAGAAAATTTTTCTTAGAAAAAATTAACTTTTTTGAGTAATATAAGGCTTCAAAAATTTACCTTACCTGGGAAAACCTTTGACTCATGTTTTCAGCTAAATTTCGTGAATTGTTGAAAATGGTGGACACAGTTCACATACCTCTCCCCACCTCTTCACCGTTCATTTCCAATGCTGTCCCCTCATCTGCACCCGTGTTAGGGTTGCTCTGGCGACGGCTGCTAAGTCCCAGACTCCGCCAATGGCTAATGGTTGTCGACCTAAGTTACCATGGGAACATAACGAAGCACTGTTAATCAAACACAAGAATGTCTACTGACACGGACTTTCATTTAAAGGGGTTATTGCAAATGGTATTTACGGTCTCAAAATCACCGGGTAATTAGGAGTAAAGCATTATTAAGAAAAAAGAATTTCAACTGTCTTATAAATTGAACTGATGCTTCAGCGTAATACCATCATTACTAGGATTAATTCCAATTGAATTCCAACTATTCTGAATCCAAATATTCACCAATTTAGTTGTTATTCTTTACAAGTTAAGTAAAATTAAAACAGCGTTTGATTTAACATCGCATTCTATACAGTTTTGTTGATTGAAGTAATTTATAAATTTAATACAGAAATATTTTAAAAAAACTATCAAAATAATTCAGTTGAATATGCCCGATATGCAGCCTGGCTATGTACTGCAAATTTATAGATATGAACGAAAAAGCAGGATGTACTGTACGTCAGCTAATGTTTTTTGCTTTCTCCGTAATTTATTTCTTAGCAGTTAGAAGTATTTCTTTTCTAAAAATAAACTAAATAAACGTAATGATAGTCATTTTCTCAATTTGATCATTTCATTTAGTGAATCGTCCAGCAGTTATGGATATAAAATTCCTCATAGTGTAGTTTTACAATCTATTACACACAAAAACTTTTGTTTTGGTTCTGATGGAATGGATTTCAGTTTGGATTTATATTTAAAGGAAAGAGGCCAATGTACAAAGTGTAAGCGTCCTTTTGGAATTATAATCAACAAAATACCACCTGTTCGTGATTTTTAGGGAATTTTAGAGTTTTTGCTCAAAGCATGTAAAATAAAAAAGGATTACATGCTTATTGGAATAAAATAATTTATTGTTAATTATTGTGGAAAAAGAGTGTTTTGTTTTTTGTTTAAGGCAAGGAGAAAAATTTTGTTTTTAATATAACAATCTATATATATAAAGAAGAATGTCTGTTTGTGTGTTTTTTCGCGATTAAGTCGGTCAGTACTATAGCTATCGTCAATAAACTTTCTACAATTCTTTCCTGGGTTTTGGAAAAGGTCGACGTCCACTTTTCCCCCTCAAAAAAAAAAAAAAAAAAAAAAAAAAAAAAAAAAAAACCAATAGCTAAAATCAGAGCTATTAATTAAAAACTCTAAAAACGCTAACTTTCGCCCTCATTTTTCCGAGAAGCAACAGTCTAGCACGCTGGAGGTAAAAATCTACTTTATTTCGAGAAGTGGTGCCACTGCTCGCTTTCAAATAGTAGAGTTTGTTAATCAAAAATCTGTAATTTTTACAAAATCTATATATATAAAGAAGAATATCTGTGTGTTTGTGCCTTTGTTTCCCTGTTTGCGTTATTGATTTCTCATGAATTTTTTGCCACACTTAATCGACTAAAATTGAATATAGGTGAAACGTTGAATAGAACTTGAGCTTTTGCGACCATTTGATTAGAAATACGAAAATTATTAAAAACTGCATGTAATTGTTACTGATATAATGAGAGAGAATTAGTTTATTTTTCTATCCAAATTTTTCTGTAGGTTCCATATCGCATCAGATTAAAAAATGTATGACTATGAATCGTATTTTTGCATCGTTATTAGGGAAGGATTAGAGCGGTATCATTCTCTTTGTTGTTAAATACATTACTCTCAAACTATCTTAACTGGCATCGGGTACTTCCGGTAGTTTTGAATAAAGAAATGTGTGAAATGAAAATATAATTCGTTATTTTTATTATATTAAATATGTAATTGGTTTATAAAAGAAAAAAAATTCTCCGATGTCTTTGAACACATCGATAGGCTGTTTCCTCAGTTAAGCCGAGTATTTACAGTTCTTACGTATTTCTAAAATTAAATTTTTCATAAATTAAATATGTATATCTTAATGCCCCGAAATTTCAGTTAATACCTAAATGAAAGAAAATAATTTTCGTTTAATGAAAAATGTTTAGTATCAGAACAAATATGAATATGTATATGGAAAAAATTTTTTAAATGGTGCATGTAAAATTTTTGGAATCTTTAAAATATCAATTTTTTAAAATAAATTTTGATGTACAATTCTTCTCACCAAGTTCAAACTAAGATAATTTCATTAAAAGTGCACTACGGGCGCCCTGATTTCTTATTACAAGGCGATGACGTCGTTCATCACGATAATCTTCGCAGGAGAGGGAAACAGTAATTCATAAGCGTCACAAGTTCCCTCATACACTTGGAATTCAGCCTTTTCTTGATATGAGGCCCAAGCCTTAAATTTCCGGTTGTGCCGTATCCCATTTTGAAGTACTTATATATGTAAACAGAAAAGATTTCAAAACATCAAATTTCCTCTATCTTTTCTTATGTTTCGATGATACTGAACTATATTTTAAGCTCAGACGTATGCTCACAAACAATTTCATTGGTACAGTTGTTGATCTCTGACTCTCACGAAAAGATGAATCAATGGCTAATTTAAATATGTGGCTGAAAAAGAACCGTTTATTATTAGTAATTAGTAAACCTAATTTTGCGTTAGTAAGACTAAATTCTAGTGTGACATATGCTTCGGTTCTTGATCCTTAGTACAGGGTGATCTAATAATCGCGCTTATTAAATTTTAAAAAATTATAGAAATAGCGAAATGAATAGTAATGACAAATTGCTTTAATGTGTGTTTTTACAAGTAATATGTCACTTGAAATTTCATTTGCTGTTTATACTAATAATTAAAAACTGTTTGTTTGATGCAAAATGGAAATAAGGTTTTAGAAAGGAGAACGAATTTTTGTAATTAAACATTACTTTGCAACGCATTATTACGGGGAAACTGATGAAGCATTTAAAGAAATTATATAACATTAAAAATTTTAATTTAAAACAGCCTATAAACACCCTTACATATTGGCAAAAGTAATAATTAGTCGTCTAACTTAGTTAAAACTATCAGATGAATTGAAAATGAGAGCCAGGTTCTCATCCATTCGAAAAAAAAAACAGAAATGATTGCTCGATCATTCAATAAATGCTACACCAGAAATGCTTTCGTCAGAACTGAAGATGATATTATCTACAAGAAAGATGATGACGTTGTTAATGGTGAAATGGAGGATGAGCCAGTCAGTCGGATTAGCCTAGAATAAGGAAAGTCTTCTGAAAATTGCTAGAAACGTAAGTTGATAATTGATTGATTGATTCAAAAACTTCATTATATTCGTATTAAGCAAAATAAAAAATATCATTTTTATTTTGCTCCAGTTTCAATTATTAATATTTTACAGTTATAAATTTTTTTGATCAAATTATTTGTAAATCATTTTGAACTCGTATATTTGACGACCACCAAAATTTCAATACCGAAGCATTTGTTAAAGCTTCTCAGTTTAAACGTTAAAGTATAATAATAATCTGAATAATTATAAATAATTAATAATCCGAAACATAACATTTATAAGTATATGAAATTAACAATACAAAAACAAAATTTAGGAAGCTGAGGGAAAAAGAACTATATAATTTATGCATGCATGCGTTTAATTTCACTGATTTAATGAAGATAATATTTTTTTTTTTTTTATTTATTTTTCAATACATTTTCTTCCCACGACTAACAAACTGAAACTAAAATTATAAACATTTAGAAACGCACATAAAAGTAATATTTGTTCTTGAGGGCTCTTTCTGAAATTCTAAATGCATATCCTCAGAAAAATAAATACCTCTCATATGTAACTGCTCATCAAGTGAATTTGAAATTCTTTAATCATATTCTTAATAGCTAAGCTTTCTATAACGCCTAGGTTTCCTACCCATATATAAGTACATTGAAGGAGATATTTTGGAATGGTTTATTCTTTTCAGGTCGTGGATTTGATATTGCAGCCAAAACTGGAAGCATTGCCACTAGTCAGAAATATTTGTTGCAAGCCTCATGAGCAAGCGATCGTATGAAACAAATGCAGAGCTTCGTCTTGAGTAATTAAAAGTATTTTCTTTATTAATTAAGTGTATACGCCTTCATGTCGTATTAGTTTCGTTTAAAATAACAATTCGTAATTTTTTTTTTCCATTTTAAACAGCTCATTTCAAATATAAAATTTTATGTTCTGTAGCTTTAATTCCTGAGGGAGTAATTATTAAACTAGCAGGCCAATCTTTACAGCTTCGCTTAATGTTATTTCACGTGTTAAACTGAAATATGCACGCTAAGAACAGCCTGCTATTCTTTTATAGTTCCTATATTTTTTTAACATTTTGAAACTTTGATGATGAATTCTTTGGCGTATTAGATTGCAGTCTGAAATTTTTGCAAATAACAATTTTATTTATTTCTCAGTAAATGGGCTTAATTTACGTATGCGGTGCATAAAAAATTAGCATTGATATGTATTATTATTATAACAACTTATATTTTCCTCGCACGTTCTTTATTAACTCTGTATCTCAAACTCGTTCTTAGCAAACTTCCGAGCATCAGGATAAATACAACTGCATTAAAACATAGATGCGTTAAACTTGTGCTATTACGAGTTGTTATATATTAATAAACCTTACAACTATGTAATATGCAAATGCTGATTCCTGTTGCAATAAGATCCGCTTCATAATCTCCCTTAAAATGCAGAAAGACTTTTCACTTGACAAATTTTTCCTAACTTGTTCCTATTGTGCTTTAGGAAAGCTTGAATAAATGCTTAGATAAAGTAACTTTGACGCACGTTTTCGTCAAAAATAAATGCGAAATTTGCAAGTGATTTGTAAGACATAACTAAGATTAGCGGTAGAATAGTGGTAAAATAACTAAGATTAATTAAGTGTGTGTTATTACTCTGAACTCACGATCAGTTCGAAGATTTTTCTGTTGCAAACAAAAATTTGGAATCTAATCAAAGTTCAAAACCTTGTATCTTTTCCCTTTTGAAATGTGCATGCAACTGAAAAATCTTATAAGAATCCAAGTTTTTAGAGCTAGGTAACATTTCAACCTCATGCAAGTGGAAATTTCGAATGTCACCTTAACAGCGATATCAAATTACGTCTTTCAAGATAATCTTCTCCAAATTCTCAAGGTACATTTTTAAAACTGAAATAATTTTCAATATATACTAGCAAAAATTAATAAAAAGAAGAATTATTTTTTTTTTACTTTTTACTTTTTTTGGTGCAATGTTTCATCCCTTCCTTATTTGGAACCTTTTGAACATAAATGAGAAAGCATCTTGTACGATTTGTATTGTTTCTCCACATTTTCACATTTACTCGAACAAACGAAATATATTTTGAATTTTTTTATAAGCTATGATAAAATATTTTTTTTAATTTAAATATATCGCAAAAATAAAGTATGAACGAAAGCTGTTTTCGAAAAGTTGAATTATTCCGTGCGCCAAAAGCGAGAGTAATGCCCCGATATGGCAGCATGCGATTTAATATTTCTGCGTAGCCCGGTGCGATTCAGACGACGGCGATCGATTTTGGGGGGTTGGAGTGGATTTACTACATACATACGCATCCGTACAATTTATCAGGACGGGAATAGCGGGGAAGGGGGTTATAAACCTATGAATCAGTATCCCACGACGCATAACTGTTGTTCTCAGCGACAAAGCGTGATACGAACTCGTTAGCCACTGCAGCGCATAATGCATTGGGTGCATCAACCATGGACGAATCTATTTCGATCCCGAAGGGATCTGAAATTGCATATAGGTTGATTTTCATATTATGTTGATTTTCACTTAAATGGCTGTTCCTGGCTGTTCTGAATAATTTATAAAGTGAATCATGCAAATGGCACAATTATTTTATATATTTATTTCAAAGAAAGAATTAAGAAAACACATTTTGAAAAGTATTAGGAAAGAAAAAAAAAGTATTAGTAAAGAAATGTATTAAGAAAACATATTTTGATAAAAATAGTAGGAAGAAACGTATTATTAGATGGAGAACAAATGTTATTCTGTAGGCATGACTCCAGAAACATAATTTATTAATTGCATTAGTAGTATAAACATTTATAAAATTATAGATCCCATATATTTAAAATGGTATTAATTAGGTGTCTTATGAATTGCCTTATCACAATATTTTTTGTCCAAACCGGGAGCATTTTGAGAAAATACAACAGCGAATAAAACCTATTAGGAAATATAACTATGATTGAAAATTCTAAATGAAGAAATTGTTAACAAAAAACAACAGCGAGTTAAACGAATTTTTAATAATTCAACTAGATATATTTTATTATTAAGAAGTTGTTAGTATTTATCACTGATGTGAACGTTCTATAAAAATTCTTTATTATTTTTAATGGCATCCAAAAATTCACTGCAATTTAGTTCACTGTTGATTCAGTTGTTCTACCTCGTTCTTCAGACCATACGATATTCATTATTGAGAACACTCTTTCGATTGATGATGTGCCTGGCATGCTGAAAATGTATTATGTTACTTGAGCAAGATGGTGCAACATTTTTTTTTCTTTTAATGATTGAAAACTTTTATCCATTTTTCTTCACAACTTTTAGTTTCGCAAATTTCTTAATTAACCGACGCAAAAAAATCTTTTGCAATCATTACTTCATCAAAAAGTTGATCCATGTTTGTTGAATTATTTGTGATATTTTCGTTAACTTTTTCACTTGACGCTTCAGTTTCAGACCATGTTAATTCACTGTTGTTTTCATTTTTGGGAAAAACATCTAAATGACACTAACAGTACTTAGATCTAGATACAAAATATTTAGATTAGCAACAGTGAATGTAACAGGAGGGATATTTTAATTGCCAAATCGCCAATTTACTCGATGATGTACTATTTTTGCCTTTTGTATATTCGGCACTTTTAAAATTTTGCCAAATAACCAGAGTAAAATCACAAACTAGCCGGAATACAGAGATCACATCATCAAACCGAGAAGTTTCCAGGCAAAGCGGGCGTCTCGTAAGCCTAGTTATAAATAACAGAAGTTAAATTTATTTTTCAAAAAATAAAATACAGATGTAAAGGATTATAGACACTGCTTTTAAATGATTAAGGTTGTTAATGTTGTCAGTATTGTCTTAATGACTATTGTATTCATTGTGAATAAATGAAAATAAATATAAAAGAATAAATGAAAGAAATCTCTTATTCCAAGTAGAATGGCAACACATAGAACTGTTATTTCGAATGATAAATGGAAGCATAACGTAGCGTGATATGACGAGAAAATCTGGAAACACGAAGGTAACATTAGCTATTGATTTTCTAATGTCGTAAAATCATTTTGTGAAAACCGGCGTGCACCCAAGCTGAATATTTAAGAGCTTAAAGAATTGAATGTTTAAAGATAATGATATTCTAGCAGTGCTAAAGCTTTTCTTTAAAGAGGCATAGTGCCATTGCAAAAATGTTATTTATATATGATTATTATCTGATATATAGTTGGAGAGTTTCAGGCTTTTTTATTGTGATCGCTGTGTTATCCAATTTATTGCGATGAGAAAAATCAAATTTGTTACTGGAAAAGCTGTTGTTTAGTCTATGCTCATATCTTACCAAGGTGCATTTCTAACAGTTTTCTGCATTTAAGCTGACGCGTTAAATATATATATATATATGTGTGTGTGTGTGTCAAAACTCAAATTAATAATTTAGTAGAAGCAAATTAAACAATCCTAGTAAAATTCTAAAATTGCATTAAAAGAAACCTATTAAATTTTAAAAATGAAACAAAAGTTAAGACTATCCCATATTATTTTTGAGAAAAGTTTTTAGTTTATTTAAAGTGAACTTAAAAATCACATTAAAATTTTAAATTACATTTTAGAATATTCATATTTTATGCTTCAGACTGACTTCTCTAAGGGTAATCTGAAACATCAAAACCTGAGTAATCCAAGTAAACTGAATCACATTTCATTCCGCATGACCCTTTGAGCAGCTGAAGATAAAAATAAAATGTACAATAAAACGAAAGTTAAAATTTAAAACACTACATACAGTTTTTACACCCCATACTCAAAAGGTCTGTAAACATCCCGACGTGAAAGAGTTACATATACATATATGTGTGTATGTGTAAATTAAAAAAATAATTACAATCTGAAATTTTCATCTTGCAGTCTATCTCCTTGAAAAGGACCTTGATTGCTATAAATTTCAAAAAGTTTAAATGTATTAAAAAAGATAAAAAATATGAGGTTTACCAACAGCCGAGCGGCAAGATCGCTGAACACTGGTAAGATCATCCCGGATTCAAATAGCGTCGAACAGGGTGCTTACATGGGAGATTTTTCGTAATTTCCTTCACCTGTAACGTGAATATGATACAGTTTCTCTTCCTTTACGCTGACAGATCTCGTGTGCCTTGCCATAACCCAAATAATCTAAACTAAAAAAAATTATAAATTAAAAAAAAAATTGAATTTGATCTTTGTATTCAGATTGATACCACTTTAACACCTAAAATAATTTTAAGCTATGCGTTATAGCAGGTCTGCCTTTAAGAATTAATCTTCCACAACTCAAGACTCAAAAGTTATAACAAGTTATTCAAAACAGCAGTATCAAACATTAAGGAGACATACTTCAATATTATTTCATTACACATTGCCCGTTTAAATTGCATAACCAGGAATGAAAATCGGTAATGTTATGCAAATTGTTGAGATTGTAGGTGTATCTAAGTTATACGGAGGCTGTTCGCATTCTTTTTACATGACTTTCTTTGTATTTACAAAAATATTTCATCTAAAATTCTATGTTTTAAATGTTCTATTTGATAACCTTTATGCTACACTATCTTTCTACACCGTAATTTCTAAGACAATAAAGCCTTCTGTTGTATAGGCAGAGCTATTTTATTTCATTCTCCTTGAACAGCTTTCCAAAGTCAAAGACGGGTTGTAGTTCGACGTTTGGACAACCTGCTTTTTAAAAGTCCAAAAGCGCAAAAATCCATGGATAACATTTCAAGAGATATAGTAGAGATATGAGTTAAGGGTACGGCCTTGATACCCGTTTCTTGACCCAGTGGTTTCGAAATGCGAAAGCAACGCAGAAATCCGATGGCAACAAATTGTGGTCAGAGGGGAATTTCTGCTGAGATTAGTTGTCATGTTAGACGAATGACCCTTAATGTTTCTTATTTTGGCTGTCATATTAAGCTCGGGAGCCCAGCAGTTTCTACATAAACCTTCAGAAGATTCTTAAACTGCCTACGAGTAATGTTCCATTGATCCCAAGCCACCGCTGTCAAAGGCAAAGATGTACACTGCTCAAAAAAAAAAAAAAAAAAAAAAAATGGGACAGTGCTATATCTCCCGTTCTACTGGGCCGATTGACAAAATTCAAACTACGTTTTTCATGTCTCGAAAGCGCGACTTAGGATATATATTAGATTTATATATAGTACTATTCTAACATAGGTATTTTGACACAAAATCGGACTTTTTTCTGAAATAACATACCAATTTTTTTACATATTTCGATTCTACGACTCAAATTATGCCAGAATACCAAGTTTTGTAAAAATCGTACGAATAGTTTTTAAAATATTAGCTCTCAAAATTTTAGCTCCTCAATGTTAATTGAATTTGGCAAATATTTATTAATATCTCTTTTTTTATTAAACTTTTTTTATTTTTTCTCTCACATTTCGAAATTTTGGTTCATTCTAAATAAAATTTACCCATTTTTTGCGTTTTATTTTTTAAATTTCTATTTTTAAATAATTTTTATAGATTTTTCGAAAAAAATTTTGAATTATAACCTATAAAATTTTTACCATCATCTTAAAGTAGGTGTATTTTTAAGCATATATCTGCAAAAAATTAGACTTTTTATTCAAAATTTTCTAAGATATACACGAATTTACATAATTTTCGCGTTTTTGAAATTTGGCACCTTTTTTTTTTTGAGCGATAATAACGCCAAATGTGGTCTATGGATTTTTGTTACACTGAATTGCCACAGCTATTTTTAACCTTAAACTTCAAGTAAAATTTTACGAAGAATTAATTATATGACATTTTTTCCCTCAATGACGCGTAATAAATATTTATTAATACTATATGAAAGGCTATTTTTTTAAATTATAGATGATATTATTCAAATTTTTAACTATTTTTTTTTAATTTCTCTCGTATCTTTTCTTTTTTTAAAAAATTTAAGAGTAAGTTTTTGTAAGAGTAAATTTTTACCTTCGGCGTTTTATCGTCTGCTACTTTACTTCGTTTAAATCGAATTGTCTAAAACTGAGAATTTTCGTTTGATATTTATTTTGAATTTTATGACATTAACTGCATAATTTATTTCTAAACAAACTGTTGCTTTTGAAGTGGCTGAAAGAGAGGCTGATACTATTATCCATATTTTTAAAGCACAATATATTTTTATAGAAACATAATATTTAGAATAATCATTTTTTATAAAAGTCAAATTATGATATAAACATACAACCCTCTAGAGACTGAATTAATGGAAGTTCAATGGTTATGTAGAAATGATCTGCAGCTACTTAATGGCTGGATAAGTCAGCAGATTTTGTGGACAAGTAAGAATAATTATATAAACGACACCAACATTCTGGATTCAATAAACAACGAGGATACGATGTTTACTAAATGAATTTAAGAAGTTTTAAAACATAAAAAATCAACTCATTTTTTCCCTAAAATGTATTTTTGTGCGTAGCGTATTTTCATTATATCCTTAAAATTCTAATTTAGAATGTAATTGTCAAGAACTGAATCCTAATCATCAGTAATATAATAAGTAATTATTACGGTTATTAATAAACCCTTCTTATAAAGTAATTGCAAATATTTCAAAAAACTTTCTGTCTGAATGCAAACATTTTTCTATGCAAATATTTCTAATTTTATATTAATCAAGATTGCACACCATATTACTTATTTCCATTTCAATTCTTACCGTCAGTTCTAGTAGAATTTACAAATCAATTATATTTAATTAAGGATTGGATTGGATTATTTAATTATGGCAAAGCACACGAGGGCTATCTGCCTAAAGGGAGGGATGCCTTGGTGGAGGACTTTCTAAGGGAAACTGGCTCGTATACACGTTACACAGGGGGAAAACCACGAAACCGCTCATGCGGCCAGCCCGTTCGCGGGATTCGAACCTCGGACTGAACTACCAGTGTTCAGCGTCTTTACCGCTCGGCCGTTGGTGGGCTATTTAATTAAGGAATGACCATCTAAGTTAAGAAACAGCGTACCGTAACAACATTTCAATTATTGGTTCCGTATCTTTCATGTTACTCCCGATTGGCTAGCTACATGATTTTTAATGAGTATTCGGATTTTACTAGTAACTTCACTTGGAAATCGCGCTTAAACTAGGTTAGTTGGTTATTTGAACATAGAAAGAACATAGGAGCTATTTGATTAAGATGCTTTCATAGAGAATCTTTGTAAAGAGAACCTAAAAAACTACGAAAACCAACCATGCAGCCTGGGTTAGACTGAGCAGCAAACAATTAGTATTTAACAATCTTTTCTTTTTCAAATGCTAGGCAACTGATGAGGCTCCAATTAAATCTCCAATTTAATATTTTATTTGTAAATATTTAAAATATTGTTGTATTCTTTGTACAAAAAGCAGAATTTAAGTTTTGTTAACTCGTTAGTAAACTAGCAAGCCGTAGTGCAAATGAATATTCAATTTCTTTGGCAATAATTGTATTCACTTAATATTCTTGGAATATGAGCTAAAGAAGGAACGTTCTCGGAAGATTAAAGAAGTGTTTAAATCCAGTGATATTATGTTTGTCTTACAAGCTCAGGATCAAAACGATTCTGCAATTGCCCGAGTAGTTGACTTGTAAATGGATGTGAATTAAGCAGATGACTTTTAATCTTACGTTATTCAGCCAGAAAACGTATTCCAAATGTTTTGTATTGCATGACAATGCACCTTTTCATTATTCAATAACCAGTCGGAGAACCGCTTGTGTTCGGAAAATAAGTATGTATATTCAAACGTCTTGCATGTTCTTCACATTTGTCTTCTTGTGATTTTTTTTCTTTCTCAAAAACTAAAGTTGCCTCTCAAAGGAAAGTTTTTTGACATTGAAGAGACAAAATTAATAAGACATCTACTTTTAGAGGCATGTCAAAAACAGATCTCTACAAACCTTCTCTTCCATTACATGTTGTGCAGTCAGACAAAAAAGTTTACATCAGCGTAAATTCTATAATCTATTTTTATTACACTCTGATTACTTTATTAACATACAGTGAATATATACTAAATCTTTTACTTTAGCTTAAGTAATTCGGAATTTTTGACGGAATTGTTGTCGGAACTAGGACTTAGAAGATAAGTCAAATTAAATATTTCGATAACCCAGTAAATTCAAGTTCGAAATTTCAATATTTTATTTTCGGAGGGAGGGGAAATGTTTTCAGTTTTGGTCCATTATACTAAGTATATTTGCTTCGATTTTTTATTTTTCCATAAAAGCGAAAATTTTACGCATGGTATATATATAACGCATAGCTTCAAATTAAAATTTAATAATATACAGAGTGGTTATAATTAAAGTTCCACATTGAAAAGGTCATAAAAGGAAAACTACTGGATCAAGTGTTATCAAAGGAGTTCAAGATGGCGGATAAAGAGCTTGACGCGTTTTACACGTCTCTTGAAAAACATTATGATACTATCAACACAGCACTTGCATCTAAATGTAATATGAACGGTGAGCTGCGTGAACATGCTAGGACGGCTTTGGGTGAGTTAAAATCTCTTATAATTAAAAATTTTGAAAGATTACAATCTGCTAATTATCGCGAAGCTTGTGTGGCAAGTTTGAAAACCTCTGTTATGAGACCTTCTTATGCTGAGGTGGTATCGCCATTTAGGGGAGAAAATGTAAAGAAACAGTCAAATGACTGTAATTTGCTTGTTTCGGCAGCTGCTGGATTGGAAAACTTTACATCCCTTAATGTTAAAAAACTTTTGAAGGAAAAAAATTAATCCTACAGAAAAGATATTAGGTATAAAAAATATTAGGACGATTTCTAATGACAGAATTTTAGTGCAATGCTCTTCCTTGACTGATCGTGATAAACTAAAAGATGAAATCAACAACAAACCTGAACTAATTTCTTTTCTTCCAAGACAGAAAAAAAATCCTGCTCTACTTATTAAAAATGTGCCAAATGAAATTGATGATAAAGATGTATTAACTGTTCTCTTTGATCAAAATCCTGACATTTTTTATGGTAATGAATGTATTAATGACATGAAATTCTGTTTTACTCTTAAAAAATTCCAAAACTCAAAGCATATCGTTGTCGAAATGAAACCCGAGCTATACAGAAAATGCCTATCTTTGGGGTATTTGCATTTTGAGTGGTCGGCTTGTAAAGTAGAGGAGTTTATCATAATAAATAGATGCTTTAAATGCCTTGGCTATAATCACAAAGGAGCTAACTGCAGAAATTCTGTTGCTTGCTTCAAATGTGCAAAAGAACATAAAAGTGAGCACTGCCAAACTCAAGAAACCCAAGCTTGTGTAAATTGCATTCGTTATAATAGCAAAATCAAGGATGTTGGCAAGAAAGTTGATGTCAAGCATAAGCCTTTCTCCGAAAATTGTCCTTCTCACACATTTTTATGAAGAATAGAATTATTTCTCAAATTAATTATGGCTAACTTTCCCATTTCTGTTCTTAAAATTATTCAACTTAATCTTCATCGTTCGAAAATGGCTACTCAGCAGCTTGTTTTAAATATGGAAAATTCTAACATTGATATCGCTCTTGTTCAGGAGCCTCACTCTTATAAATGCTCTCTTCCCAACTTGCCTTCCTCTTACCGGGTTTACTTTGATGCTAATAGTGATACCATTAAAGCTGCTATTATTGTACGGAATCAAAAGCTGTCTACTCTGCTTGATATTAATAATCTTGATTATAATATGGTGTTTCTTCATGTTACTCTCAATACTCATGATTTTATCTTTTTTTCCTATTATTTTGAACCTAATAGATATATCGACTTGGATTTGCATAAAATTAATGTAGCATTAGCTTCAAAAAATTGTAATAGATTGATTTGGGCTATGGATGCGAACAGCAAATCTGAAATTCGGCATAGTCCAATTTCAGATTCTCGAGGTGTTAAACTTTGTGAATTTTTAAGTATGAATAATTTGTTCATTCTAAACGAAGACTGTGGTCCTACTTTCTGTAGTACTCAAGGGTCAAGGTATATTGACATTACGGTTGTGGGATCTGATCTTCTTGCAGATATTTTGTGTTGGTGTCAACCAGATTATGAATCCCTTTCTGATCATTGTACGATTGAGTTTGAACTTTCTGTAGCTTCTAATAACACTCTCTATGACAGAAAAAAACAGCAAAATTGTCTTCAGTGTAAAGAAAGCTAACTGGAATATTTTTTACAATACATGTAAGCAGTCGATTGATGAGTTTTCGCGCAGTTTATTGAGTGCTGTACGGATAAGCATGCATTAAACTCTCGACTAGAAAATTTTGTCTCGATTCTCTATAACGCATCCAAGGCTTCCATGCCTCTAAAAAAGTCAAGGGTTCATAAGGTACCTTGGTGGACTACTGAAATCGAATGTATGAGAAAACAGGTTAACGCTGCTAGACGTAGGTTTCAACGAAATCGTAACCCTACTCTTAGAGAGTTATATAAACAAAAATATCTTCACTTAAGGCATAGTTACAGTTTAAAGCTCCAGGATGCAAAGCTTAAGTCTTGGAGAGAATTCCTAATGAGTATAATGAAAGGAATGTTTGGAAAAAAAATATATACGAATGGTATAAAGAAAAATTTTATGAAAGGAATTGAAGTCAGTGGAATTTATCTCCCATCTGGTAATTGTACAAAGTCGCTTGAAGAAACTGCTAATGAGGTTTCTTAATAGAAGCTTTCTGACGGACCCTTTTAGCAGGGATAATTCGTTTCATAGAATGATTAGGGCTGAAGCTTCATTAAATTATGTTGCTAATTCAGATCCTCCATTTACTATATCAGAAATTAATAGTGTTATAGAAAACCTTAAATGCAATAAAGCTCCTGGTCTTGATTCTATTTCAAACGAAATTTTGAAGCAAGTCCATAGAATGTTTCCAAATTTATTCTCCAAAATCTTCAATACTTGTCTGAGGCTTGGTTCATTTCCTCGTTGCTGGAAAACAGCGAATGTCGTTTTAATCCCTAAGAATAGTGGTCCTCATATCCCGCAATTAGATAACTTGAGATGCATTAGTCTTCTTCCCAGTTTAGGAAAATGCCTAGAAAAGCTGTTTGTTAATAGAATTACCTGGTTCTTGCATAATAAAAAACTGCTAAATAAAGCACAGTTTGGTTTTACCCCTCATAAGAGTTGTGAAGAGGCTCTTTTGTACTTAAAAGACATAGTGGACGAAGGTAAGAAGAGAAATTTACACACAGTTTTAGTGTTTCTTTGATATCAAAGGTGCTTTCGACCACGCCTAGGTGGCCTGGGATACTTGTTTTTTTTTTTTAAGGAAAGCTGGTATTCCGTGTAATATTTACCACCTTATTAAAGATTTTCTGCATGACAGAATCTGCATTGCTCTCCCTTGGCCACGTTTCTTCTCTCTCCCGCATTTTGGAAAGAGGTTGCCCTCAAGGCTCGGTTTCCGGACCTTTATTGTGGAATTTAATTATGAATGATCTATTCAATAGACTCTCACATTGTCCGAGTTGTAAAACAATTGCTTTTGCTGATGATCTACTAATTTGCTTTCAAGAGAAGTGTCCCATTACTCTCTTTAATACGGCTCAAAACACCCTTAATATTATTTCCAATTGGTCCAGAGAACAGAAATTGGAATTCAATCCTAATAAATCTAAAATTATGATAATTAAAAGAAAGCATGTCAGCTATACAAATCAACAACTGTACTTGGATAATACCTTACTCGAAACGGTGAATGAAATTAAATATTTAGGCGTTATTCTTGATCATAAGTTTTGTTGGAAAAATCATATTATGTATTTATCCAATAAGTGTGAAAATATACTTAGAGGACTTAATCGTGTCTCTTGCAATACTTTTGGTTTTAAAAGTCTAATGTTATTGATATGATTTAATAAGCAGGGTATTGTCCCCTTTTATTTGCTATGCTTCTAGAGTGTGGGGAACAGCTTTAGAAAAGAAGATTAATTCCCGTATACTTCGCAGAATTCAAAGAAGAATTTTACTAAGAGTTGTGCGTGGCTACAGAACAATTAGCTATGAAGCCTGTTTCGCAATTTCAGGATTTCCTCCGATTGACCTTCATGTTTTGAATGACAAAAAGTTTAAAGATACCATCAGCAAAATTTATGTTCGATACCAAGGTGTTGTTTGAAGATCTTCCTCATCCTGCCAATCGTTTGCCAATTCAAACTATCATTTATGACAATTCTGTTGATGATAATTTCCCTGTTGTGTGTTATACAGATGGCAGTAAAATTAATAATCGAGTTGGATTAGCTTATGTCGTTTTTCCATAATGGTTCTGAAATGGAATACAAAACTCTTTAGAATTCCCAATGAATGCAGTGTTTTCCAAGCCGAATTACTGTGCATTAGTGAGTCAATTAAGTGGATATCTAACAACTGTTCGCTAAGTGCTAAATTTCTTATTCGCACTGATTCTCTTTCATCCTTATTTTCTCTTAGGAATATCTTCTCATATAATAAATTAATTGTGACTTCCCATGCTCTTCTTAAAGACCTTAATAATAAAGGTGTTGATGTTATCTTTTCTCATGTACGTGGCCACACTGGCAATCTAGGAAATGAAAGGGCTGATTGGTTGGCAAAACAAGCTACACATCTTCAAGTAATTACTCCAATGATACTTCCTAAGTCATTTTACAAGAACAAAAGTAGGGATGATACAATACTCGAGTGGAATGAACTATACAGGAATTCTACTACTGCCTCTTTGACTAAACTATTTTTTCCTTCCATTCCTCACAGACTGAATAATAAACACACTTTTTTTGCAATTTTGAAGTTACTCAATTTCTAACTGGACATGGTAAATTCAATTCATATCTGAAGAGATTTAGATTATCTAGTACAGACTTGTGTTCATGCAGTTTCGGGGGAGTGCAAAATGTCGAACATTTGTTGTTCTATTGTTCAAAGCTCAAGGAAGGACGAAAGGAACTCATTTCTAAGTTAAACTCTGTGAATATTTCATTTCCTCCCCCTCTTCATGTTTTTGTTCAACATAAAATGGCTTTCTCTTTTTTCTGTAAATTTATCTCTTACGTATCATCTGTGAATTTGTAAGTTTATTTTATTTTGTGTTGTGTTGTTGTATTTGTTTTTTTTTTTTTTTACTTACCTCTGTAAGCCTTGTGTAATACTATGTGGTGCACAAGGATTTAAAATTTTCAATAAAATAAATAAAAAAAAAAAAAAGTGTTATCAAACTTGGAAATCGTGTAAAGGAGTTCATGGGAATTTATTTTCCGCGAAAAAAAGGAAGTTCGAAACCTCACCACCAGGGGGGGAAATGGCGCTGTATGCAATATTGTTAAACGAAATGTGGGTCGGAATCTAGCTTAACCTTTTGTTAAACGGGTTTAATATGTTGTATACCCTTAAGAAACTTTGAAGTAGGCAAATTACCATTTAAAGACGTTAAATTCGATAAATGTCGAGGGCGCCATCCCTGTAAGTGAGAATTTCGTCCGTGAAAACCACGAATTAGCGATTAGAAAATGTGAGATCGCAAATCACTCTCACAAGTGCGTGTGCGTACAATCTGGAAATCGTTTTCTTACAGATCGCTAATT